GTCGTCACTGTGGCTGAATGTGAGACATCCCCTCCTCCCCCAAGGCCAGTGATTGCGCCAGAGCCCTGGAGCGCTAGCGAGCAGGTGACGCTGAAGCTGACCGCCAGCCCGGGGCTGGGGGGCGGGGGTGGGGGGTGAGATAAGGGCATGATCCTGTTGGTGGGGCGAGAACTAGAAGCCGGGGGCGCCCTCTCCCCGGCCCCCACCTCTGGATTCACGCAGGCGCGCGCCTGCCGCGTCCTCAGGCGCTCCGGGCTTCCCCGCGTTACGTGGAGCCAGGGCACCCCCCGCGACGCCGCCATTCATTTCTTTCACTCTGCACGCGCAGCGCCAGCCTCTGGAACCAGGAGAACTGCAAGGCGCAGCGAGCGCTTTGAACCCGAGTTTAGGCGCCAGCGGCAAGGCTGGGGGTGTGTGTCTGTCCTAGTGCGCGTGTCGGCCCAGTTACAGAGACCTCCCCTAGGTGAGACCGTGATACACAGAGACTCGGGAGATGGAGACAGTGCCACATAGGTACAGGGGCCAAGCATGGAGACAGATACAGAAGGATAGAGACACTTAAGAGACAGACGTAGACAGAAACCATGATACAAAGAGAGATGGGGCACAGTGCCAGATACAAACACACACGCATTAAAGATAGACTGACATAGATAGGAGACACAGGAAGGCGGTCAGAGAAACACAGACTCCAGATGAACATTTTAAAATCCAAAGAGCAACCCGCTACAAGAGCGCACCAACAGCGGAGACACTGGTGTGAGCAATTCTCGAGTCCTACGGGTTCGCGAAGTCCCGCACACCTCGCCGGATACCAGACTCCCCCACCGCGTTTTTAGTGCCCCTCCTTGAGAATGACAGCCCTGCTTCCGCCTTCTGGCCTGACTTGCTTCCCAATTTCCAGTCCCACTTGCTCTGCTCTCAGAGCCTCTGTGCCAGACCCTCTTTTCGCCCTTTGGGCGCCGGGCTCGCTCCTGCCACCACCACCCCATCCTGTTCTGCCACTCCCCAGCAGATCCAGCACCCATTTGCCGGTATCGTTCTCCCAGCCGCTACTCCCGCCATTGTGCAGGA